AAACTACAATACACCGAAATCTTATTATACAAACTTGTACAACCTAAAAGGACGCGTCTGTTTTGAATCCTCCAAATTTCGTTTTTGTCATTTTGGGTTCCCGCTATATCGCCTGGGAACCCAAGATATTTTACCTACGAGTTTGGTGATACTTTGTCGTAGAAAAATCTGCATAATAGGAATTCTGTCATTTTAAAATGATTTTTTAAATAAGTTGGACAACTTTAGTTTTTTGGATAATTCAAAAAACGGCACCGAGAAAACTGCAATACACCGAAATCTTATTATACAAACTTGTACAACCTAAAAGGGCACGTCTGCTTTGAATCACCAAAATTTCGTTTTTGTCATTTTGAGTTCCCGCTATATCGCCTGGGAGATCAAGATATTTTACCTCGAGTTTGGTGACACTTTGTCGAAGAAAAATCTGCCTAATGGGAATTCTATTATTTTAAAATGATTTTTTAAGTAAGTTGGACAACTTTAGTTTTTTTAATAATTCAAAAAACGACGCCCATCGTCCGAGAAAACTACAGTACACCGAAATCTTATTATACAAACTTGTGCAACCTAAAAAGGCGCGTCTGTTTTGAACCCACTCAAATTTCGTTTTTGTCATTTTGGGTTCCCGCTATATCGTCTGGGAACCTAAAATATTTTACCTACGAGTTTGGTAACACTGTGTCGAAGAAAAATTTGCCTAATAGGAATTCTGTCATTTTAAAATGATTTTTTAAGTAAGTTGTACAACTTTAGTTTTTTGGATAATTCAAAAAACAGCACCCATCGTTCGAGAAAACTACAATACACCGAAATCTTATTATACAAACTTGTACAACCTAAAAGGGCACGTCTGCTTTGAATCACCAAAATTTCGTTTTTGTCATTTTGAGTTCCCGCTATATCGCCTGGGAGATCAAGATATTTTACCTCGAGTTTGGTGACACTTTGTCGAAGAAAAATTTGCCTAATAGGAATTCTGTCATTTTAAAATGATTTTTTACGTAAGTTGGACAACTTTAGTTTTTTTAATAATTCAAAAAACAATTTTGCCATTTTGCCGTCAGTCAAATTTATTTTGTAAATATTTAGTATTTCAAGCTCTAGCTAGTTCGGTACGTAATAGAACGCCATCCGCCCGTTTTTCACAAGATGATAATGGGACATAATGGTAAAAGCAAAGATCATATGATCTTTGATAAAAGGTTAATCTCTTTATCGTCTTGTTAATTAAATATAAGTAATAAGCATTGAGTAACTATAGCATTGCTAATCCAACAGTCAATCATATAAGAAATTTAGAAATAAGAACCCATCGTCCGTGCCCCGTGGTAGGTATGATTTTCAATTTGCAATGAAGTAAAATGGTGAATAAATAAATGAGTTTTTTTTGTGCCAAATTGTACAGTTTTGCAAGTATACAGTATACACATCTTCGTTTCATTGTTTTTGTAAATAAAATTATAAGTGTAGGAAATAAAATTGTAAGTGTAGGCTTTCAGATTGGAATTTCCGTTGGCCTTGGCAGAAAGTGCATCGCATCACAGATAAGACGAACGTTCTCAGCTTCATTTTACAATTTTTCCTTCATTCGGGTCTTTGGCGGGGAGTTGTGTTGTGGCGTACTTACGTAACGTAATGTAATTGACATTGGATGATAAGTGGTAATTAATATCTAAAGGACTGTAAGGTAGGTGAAGACATAAAGTTACTACGAACTACGATTACGATGTGCTTTCGATACAGGAGCCCCATTAAAAGTTTATGCGGAAGTATACAGGGTGTAGAATTGGTTTATGCACCATAGGCATATCGATGGTAATTCCTTTATATCCAAACATTTTTTTCCCTAAATATTTTACACTGAAGTTGTAAATACCGTTTTTGTCGATTATAAATTTCTGCGTCTATTGATGTGCCCATTTGTAATTTGTTGTTGTGGTAAATCGGAGAAATTAAGGAAGTTATAAATTAAAAGGATAATAATTGGAAATTTAATTTTTGTTTCAATGATTTCACGGCACGAGTGATGTTAGTGATAAATCATTCGTCCATTGAAAGTATTGAATACTAAAATTAGTTTTTTAGGCAAATACATACTAATTCTCATTTATATATTTTTTCCGGTTTCCCGATTTTAAAAATAATAAATGAGGGCATGAGCAGACGCAGAATTTATTGTTCAAGCGACAAGAAACCTTTTTACAACTTTGCTCTAAATTAATTAGGGGAGAAAATATTTCGATATAAAGAAATAAATATGTCCCTACGGATGCATAACCTGTTCAACACCGGACACCCTCTATAATGACAGATTTAAAGTTTAATTTGGTTATGACCATTCCATTGTAATGATTCGTTTTTTAAATTTAGCTTCCCATAATGTTATAATTATCACCAATTCCAATGCAAATTTTAATTATAATTTTTGCAGTATTTTTTTGGAACAATGCCGAGAAGATCAGTTAGAATTTTGTCGATGCTCAAAAATCCCGTCCATCCGTAAGACAGCATCCAGGATGAATATGATCTTCAAGACATCGAACGTTGTCAAGGTAAATATTTCCGAATTCATTTGTGTCCTAAAATTTCCCTGGTCCTGGAATTTTTTACTATAAAATTTCGCTGTCTAAAGGGGGGGGGGGGGCATGAATTATTTCCTGAGATGCTGTTTTTGATAGTAAAACGTGCATAACTTAAAGGTATCATTCAAATAGATTGCTTTGTACATACTTATAACTTCCCCGCGCGACTCTTTTTCGTTATCAGTGGGGGATGGGGCCGGCGGTTGTGGGGGGGGGGGAGTTAGAAATTAATTAATTAATTTTGTCTTTCATGGTATTCTAATTAAAGGTCTCAACGAAAGGAACCGCTTTCTACCAACTACTGCCCTGCTCTCTGTCCTCTTATCAAAAGACAGTGGTGGGGAAGGGGGGGGGGAGTGGAACTGGTTTTATCCTTCATGGTACTTTAATGAAAGGTATCAACGAAAGGAATTAATTTCTACCAACCATAGACCTCCTCCTCGACCTCTTATCGTAATCGGATATATTCCCTTATATCTTCAGAACGGATTGTCGGAAGAGGGTTCTCACAAAGGGCGATTGGAACGTCTGCAAGAAATATATCCATTGGTGATGTCTAAACTTTAAGAGCAAATGTCTCGAAAACTGTTTGTCGGAGGAAAGTACTCTCAAAGGAAAAATCTGCAGAATAGAGTGTCGGAGGATTTTGAATGTATGCCAGGCGGTCTTTAAATGTTTGTGTATAAAGAGCCATGCCGCCTTCTCCCCTTAGAACCCTATTTCGGTCTAAAAAAATGAGCTTTATCTGCACATCTCCATTATAAAAACAAATAACCTTCCTCATAGGCACATCCTCAATTTTATATTTTTCTGTGAACCTAGAAAAAGTACATACTGTATCGAGTAGCATTTTGTATGGCGAATACAATAAGTATGGGACAATATGTCATTTAAAGGACCCATAAATGAATTATTTTGACATGTTGTCAATGACCTACTACACCAACATAATAAAAGTTGTTTATTATTTATGTCAGAAAAAATGCTTGTTAAAAATATTGTTATTAATATTATGTGTTAACATTTTGGTGTAGTAGGGGTTGACAAAATGTCAAAATAATTCATTGATGGTTCTTCTGAATGATAATTGTCCCATACTTCATTGTATTCGCCATAAAAAATGCTACTCGAACAGTATGTACTTTTTTCAGGTTCACATAAAAATATCAAGTTCATGATGTGCTTATGAGGAAGGTTATTTGTTTTTTGATATCTTTTTAAACAGGACCAGACAAAAATAAAAACGAATACGGCTAATTTCGGTTTCTGTCGAATACCTTTGGAACTGATCAGATATCTGAATTTTAAAAATATCTTACTAAGCCCTAAAATACTCGACTTTTTCTAATTAACCGACTGTGTATCTCTTATGGTTTCCAATTTTCCCATGCTGTTCATCCTTACCTTGGTCACTGTGTGTATATGATTTGCATTTTTTTCGTGGATGTATGTGATTGCGCGATAGTATATTTATATCATATGTGTCTTACAGATGCCCTAAATCCTGAAGAAAACCGAATCGCACCAATACAGACTACAGGGGAAATTATGGAGGAGATAGATTTGATAAAACCAAATACAAAAGGTAAAATTATATATAACTATCGCCAGGAAAGATTGCCCGTCACAGCACACCTTGTCTATGTTTTTCTTAAGATGCGAGCAACTTCCGGAATAGGATCGTGCCAATGTTGAACGAAAAGTCTTTTTGTTCAACATTGACACGATACTATCCCGGAAGTCGCTTACATTTTTAGAAAAACCTCGATTGTAGACCCAGCTCAAGTGTTTTGTGACCGGCAATCTTTCCTGACGAGAGGTTTATTTTCATCATTTTACTATTTCATTATTTGATTCTGGTGAGATACAAATGTTAAATTTTATCTAACATCATGTTAATGTTACAGGTAAACTCCAGCATAAATCTCTAGTAGCGCGCCATATGGTCTTCAGAAGAAAAATCAGCTGTCTTAGGTTTTTTCAACCAAGAAATTAAAAAAAGATCTAGTACCCGGAGAAGCTCAATGTGAAAAGTGCTTAGAAGAACATGATGTTTTGCCCACAAGATCATGGACCGACGTAAAATTCTGCATTAAAAACCATCTAGACAAGAGAAAAGATGAGTGCCTTTACTCATACAAAGTTAAAAACTGCCTTTGTTGTACTATAGTGTGACATTTTACACGTTTAATCTATTTCTTATTACTAAAAAATGTACAGGTACTAGGTAGCTTTACTGAAAGCATTGAATTTATAGATAGTTATCAATTCAATGCTGAAAGTACCATTGCTGTACTAATTAAGATTATTGTAGTTTTCTGAAACATTTTTAATTTTTCTGTTGTTCATTGGGATTTATAAAATTCCTTCTGTATTTGTGTATAGCCAACTGAATAAAGATTTCTAAGCAAAATTGTGTTTTGTACCTGGGTTAATTTTTTCTAAACGGTAGGTACTATATGTGGATCTCGCGGTAAAGGTAAATTAATTTGGTAAGAACAGAGAGATAATCTGGGGAGGGGATATCCCAAGGATGAATTTTGTTTGTAAGAAATCTACTAGATACTTTTAATACATAAACTGCTTCAGGACATTTGTAAAGCGTTGCTTGATTCAGCTTATGTCTTTGATGGCTGTTAACTTTTGGTCATTGAATAAATTTTTATTCAATGCTTTGGTCCAGGTGCCATTTGCACTTTAGTCCACCACTGCTCTAGATTCTAGACTAGCGCAACTACCTACCACTATTTAGGTACCTAAAATTGACTACCTACCTAACTTGTACGGCAACCATGATTTTGTCATCAATTTTGTCTATTTTGCAATATGACATTATCTTAGGCGTTTCTATCGGTTTCATAGCGTAGCGTGAATGAGGTTAGGCAACACATCGAACTCCCACACCAGTTGAATAATATTGTTTTCATGAGAGTTTTCGTTTCGAAGAACTTATGTAACCCTCCCCCTTTATACTAATGTACATATTCAGAGGAAATATCCTCTTCAGCAATCGTTATCTATAAGAAAAACAGAGAGTGAAAACTTGGCAACACTGCATTTTCACACAAATTTGGAAATGCAATGTTTATGACATCTTTCTTTAACACACTGCACAAAATGGCATATTACTGGCAGCCCACACACTAAAATCTTGTTTCATAATAATTGTGGCAAATGATGCCATAATACTTAACACAGTACAGTTTCCTTCCTATGGAAGGTATCTTGGATACCCTCGGTTTTTCATGATCCGCACGAGATGGCGCTACCTCTTATGTATGTTTAAACGAAATCGCCACAATTTGGGTTTATTCTCATGTTGCCATAAATATTACGAGGCGGGTAAGGGTGTGTGTGTGTGTGTGTGTGTGTGTGTGTGTGTGTGTGTGTGTGTGTGTATATATATATATATATATATCTATATATTATATTATATATATATATTATATATAAATGCCTTTATTGCCCAATAACTCAATGATCGAAACAAACATCAGGTTACTGCATAATTGTGGGCAACAGGTGCAAGTTCAGGGACTGGCCCATAAGTGCCGCTCCTGGTCTTCCACTTGAACCCAGAATACTGTATTCAGAAATTTATAAAGGTTTAAGGTTGGTTACTCTAAAGATAAAAGAAACTTGAATTGTGTAATTTTGCGTTATGGTGTTGTCACATCCCATAGGTAATGAAGTTAAATATGCATTATTGCGACATTAATAGATGATCTCTAGTTTTAGCTTTGAATCGAGTGAAGGAGGCGATGTTTTTAATTGATTGACTCATTGAGTTCCATAATTTGCAGATATTATAAGAAAATGATCTCTCGAATAATGACGTGCGATGTTTGGGAGGGCGAAGGTAAAATTTCCTCCTTACGTTTAAATTATAAATATCCGTACGGTATGATAGGCGTTCTGAAAGATAAGGTGGGGTGTTAAATTTGATTACTTTAAAGTAAAGTAACAAGGCGTGATGATCTCTTCTGTTCGACATATTTAACCAGTTACATTGATGAAGTAAGTGTGAGACTTTATCGTATTTTTTAATTCCATATATTAATCGAAGGCAGTGATTTTGGATTTTTTGAATTCTCTTCTTGTCATAATAATCTAAACATGGACCGTAAAGTACATCACAGAAATTAAAGTTAGACAGTACCAACGATTCACACAACATTTTAGTCGTCGATTAAGTACATTGCGCTGAGAATAAATTTGCCTTAGAGCTAAAAAGGATTTACTTACAATCTTCGATACGTGTGACTTAAATCTTAGATCAGAATCCAATAACATGCCTAAATTCCTGGCACAAGTAACACACTCTAATGTTCTTCCTACTAGTTTTATCTTTAGGTTGTCAGCGAGGTACTGACGATCTTTTTTTTTGCTAAAAAGCAGTAATTTGCACTTGTTCAAATTAAGTGTTAGGCAGTGTGATTCAGCCTGCTTAATAATGAATTCTAAAGCATTGTTTATGGCACTGGCCGATGTGGTCAATTCTGCCATACTAAACGAGTGATAAATTTGAGTATCGTCGGCATACGTGTGGACCCTAACCTCCTTGATGTCCTTAAGGTATTGACTTGTGTAAACGCTGAATAGTAAAGGGCCCAAAATTGTTCCTTGCGGTACACCTCTAGATATTGTTATCTCCTCCGACGTGTTATCATTCAACTCCACAATCTGACATCGGTTCGTTAAGTAAGAGTCAAAGAACTGTAACAAATTAAAACTACAACCAACGTAGTGTAGGATCGCTATTAATGTGTCATGGTCTATCATATCGAAAGCCCTGGAGTAATCCAGCAGTATTAGAGCAGTGGCGTGACCCTTATCTAATGCGTTAAAAATATCATCAGTGACTGATAAGAGGGCAGTACAGCAGCCATACCCTGGTCTAAAGCCTGACTGCTGTCTTGGTAAGAGATTATAGCAGTTTAAATGCTCAAATAGTTGCTTATATATTATTCTCTCAATCACTTTCGATAATGTTGGCAAAATAGAGATTGGCCGGAGATCAGTCAAAGCTGTAGGATTAGAAACTTTGGGTAGTGGGATTACCTTTGCCTTCTTCCATAAGGTGGGAAATACATTAAATTCAAAGGAGTAGTTTATAATGTGCGTGATATATTTAATAATGTAGGGACAACATAGTAATAAGCAGGATGTTTATTTGATCGACTCCACATGCTTGGGTTTTGATTGAATTTATAATTTCTAACACTTCGTGCTCTGTTGTTTTATGCAAATCTAGTACTTTTTTAACATGTGGATGACGACAACTCATATAGTTTCCAATTACGTCCAGATTTGGTGACGACTTACCTATAGAATTTACCATAAAATTATTGATTTCATTGGCTGTGCCAATTTGCAAAGGAAAGTCCATTTTTCGAGATTGCACAATATTTAAGTTACGCAGTCTTCGCCACAGTTGCCGACTATTACAAGACAATAATGAAGAACTGTTAAGATAGGCGTGCTTTTCCCGCTGAATGGCGGATTGAACATAATTTTTTAATGACTTATAATACTCTTTATGCGCATTACTGTTGGATTTTTGGTATCGCTTAAACGCACGGTCTCTAGTTACCATCATTTGCTTGATGGTGTCCGTAATCCAAGGTAGATTACGCTTGGTGACCCTACTTGTCACAAAAGGTGCATGTCTATCAAACAAATCCGTGACATTATCGCCAAGAAATTGAAGTTTTTCATCGACGTTGTGTATTTTATAAATAAAGTTCCACGAAATGTTACAGAGATCATGTGTAAATAAGTCCTTGTTGAAATACTTAAATTGTTGGTAAGTCTTAGTTATCATTGAATCGTTGGATCTGTCCAACTTTAATTTACAAAAAATAAACGAATGATCAGATAAATGGTGGTCAGTAATCGTACCTGAATCAAGAATAATTTCATCCTTATTTGTCAATATAAGATCTATGAGAGTCTCTGAATCGCATATCATCCGTGTCGGTTCAGAAATCAATTGCTTTAGCGCAAAAGACTTCATAAGTTCTGTAAGAGACTGGAACGCTGTGGTAGTGACGTTGTTTAAGTTAATATTAAAATCTCCCAGGCACACAACACCATCGCTACTCGGTAGAACTTCCATTAGTGCATTTTCGAGGGATTCTAAAAATGGATTTACGTCATATCCATGAGGCCTATAGATAACGGCAATTGTCAACTTAAATTTATTTATCTTAATACTTATCCATAATTGCTCGATGTCACGTGATACCGACGGAAATGCCCATTTGTCAACGTGATATGAATTTTTAATATATAATCCTACACCGCCTCCCCTTCCCCTATCAATTCTCATGAAATTGTAACCATTGATCGCCACATTATCTGTCGGGGTCTTTTCAGTCAACCAAGTTTCCGAGATCGCAAAGACATCACAATCAGCAGCTTCTAAGAAATGGACAAAACCTGGAAAATTTGAAATTAATGAACGAACATTTAAATGACCAACCTTAAACGCTTTCATTTTACTAACCATAAGCACTAGCTTTTCTTAATAATACAATAATACAAACAGAAACAAAATAAACAAGTTTCTTTGACAAAACAAAGTGAAATAAAAAAAAGAAAGAAACGCCATACGCAATACGCATCCATCCTGGCCATTAAGAAATTTAAACACAAAATAATCGCACTTTACAGATAAAATTAAATTCAAAACACCAACATTGTTTTTGCTTCCCACCTAACTCAATGCAATTTTACAGATTAGAGGTAGCCGGAGGTAGCTTAATTCTTTATAAAGTTTTTCATTGCAAGTCCAAGTTCCTGTAAATCGTGCACAATTCGTTTCTTGCCATCCGGTAGGAGAACCCATACGTTACCATCTCTCGTCCAGGTAGATTTGTTTCCAACCCCCTTTTTTGCCTCCTGATACAGTTCAGAAGGAGTTTTGGTGAGTGATTCGGTGATTAAATAACGAGACCCCTTTAACTTCTTTTTGTTGATCCACACTGTGTTTCTTTGAATGTATGAAATAAATTTCACTATCACTGGCCTCGGTTTGTTGTTTGAGGTATTCATCCGGCCTAATCTGTGACAGTTATCAAAATCGCTAACGTAGAGGTTATCAAGCCCTAGCTGGTCCTTAAAAAAACCAAGAGCAATGTTGCATATCTCCTCATCCTTCTTTTCTTCTATGCCGTGAATAATTAGACAGTTTTTCCGTGAGTAGGTTTCTTGTGCATCTAATCGACGCTCCATATCTACCAGATCATCTTTCAACGCTGTTATACACTGACAGATATCATTTTGAAATTTTTTGAAATCTGCCATCAATCTTTCCAATGCCGATGTCTTTTGGGGCTGTTGGGACTGGGAATAATTACTCACAACATCTCCTAAGCGACCTTCGTACTCCATCATGGTGCTTTT